GATTTATTTGCTTGCCTATCATATACTAGCTACGGGTTATTCTATTTTGAATTCACTTCTGGTTGGGTTTAGCATATCACAAGCAACATCAAACTTGTTCAGGCGACAGTTCATTATACACCAGCCCTCTTGTTCGTTCATGTTGGCATGATAGGAGGCAGCTCTATTTTTGTTGTCATATTGAGTGTGCAAATACAGATAACAGTAGTAACACTTGGCTTAGTAGTCTTGACTCATCGCTTCTCCATCATATTATATGGTGATCGAAAGAAAAGGATATTCCAAACACTTCATCTAGCCNCTCCATCATATTATATGGTGATCGAAAGAAAAGGATATTCCAAACACTTCATCTAGCCATTTGCACATTCGCTGCTATTGCTCCGGGAATGGTATCGTTCTATGTAACAATGACATATGACTATAAAGCTGCTGAGAAACAGCTTGTGAAAGTAAGTTTTGGCAACAAGGATTTATACCATTCTCTTAGGATTGCCCACACTTCCTGCCATTGGCTATTTCATATCAGTTCTTGTATATTCATGATCTCGTCCAAGTACGTACACTACTGTTCGCTTTATTATTTTTCGCTACCTTCATCGTATCTACTTTTGCTTCACTTCTATTATTCTGTCTAATACAGTTTATGGGCAAGACACAACACTTCTCAAAAGCCACTAAGAAAATGTATATACGTCTATTGATCAATCTGTCGTGTACAATCTTGTAATACAATGTTATTTAGATGCATGTAAAGCGAATCATTCAGAATCCCAGTTGTCTTACATGCCGTACCAACAGTAGTATTAGAATCTTTGATGCTCTTCCAATTACAAGCAAGTTTATGTTAGCTACAACATACAGACGAAGGTACTCAATGTCAAACTTCAGGGATTTCGACAGCGATGTGGTCTATTGGTTCCTCTCACGCACTGATAAACTGTGTAGCGTTCATTGGCTTGAACGAATTCTACCTGAAGAAGTTTAAAACAGGTGAGAACAAAGATCAAAGTCGGGCATTGCCGTATTGTAGATATTCGATTCTGCTTGAATCCGATCGTGACAAAGGTGGCTCCAAGCTCGCAAGCTCTGACTGGAATCTCTGTTCTCAT